AGTGCCTGCCCAGCAAGTGCAGGGCCCTGAGTTCAAACCCTACTACTATGTTTTTAAAAAAGGAACACGTATAACAGATTGAATACAGAAACAGATATGAGAAACCAGCTATATCCATTAAGAGATTTTCAAACTTATTTAACAATGTGACTTTTCACTAAGTTTTTCTTGGTTTGGAAAATAGTTTTTGTTTTTTATAAAGATGTCATTATGTTAACATTGGTAATGGGTTTATTAGTTAATAAATATCTCTAAAGTTTCTCAGTTTTAGCTTCTAATATAAAATAATGGTAGATATAACTCACGTAAACCAATGCATTTTAGGGTCTTCAACAATCATTACAAGCAAAGGGGTCCTGAGACCAAAAGATTTCAATATCTTTATGAGAATGAAGGTGATTACAAAGATTATATTTTTATTTAGTACATACAAAATTCATTTTAGAGCATATCCTAATAATAATCACTTTCAGGAAAAGTCCATGAGCTGATGGGACTTGACACCCATTTCCATGTCGTTTCTAGATGACTCAAGACTAATTGGATATTTTCATATTACAGGGTCATTGCACTGACTCTCATGTGAACTACTTGGATACTTACAACATGAATATAAATATGTTTTTATTTCAGTTTGGGTTACAAAGAAATTTGAAAGTTTAAGTGTCCTTTGTTCTTGGTCTCAAAAGACCTGGATATTTCAGGAAAGGGCAAGCTAGGAGATCTTGACAGTACATCTGTTCCAAGGATCTAGCATGGCCACTCCAGACCTCAACTCTGAATTCCATACTACCTGCCAAAATACATGTTGAAGACTGAGATGAATGGATGGAAAGTCTCCGTTTCCCAGCTCCAAGGTAGAAGGAATAGAGCCTATCTAATCTTTGAGTTGTCAGCTCAGAATGAGAGTAGAGAGTTGCCCAAGTGCTTGGAGGCACGGTAGAAACGTGACCTCCTATGCAAGCTGTTGGCTGCAGCCCTCTGCTCAGCCCCTGTTCACAGTAGAGGTGGCTGTGGTTCTCACCTCTATTGTGGGAAAGCAGGCGCAGTTAGGAAGCAATTGTCTCATCAGCATTTGGGACTTTTTTGGTTCAGTGCATGGTCAATTGCACATAAAAGTAAGTTTTCCTGTCTTTTAGGCTTCTGTGACAGTATGAACAAGCTGAAACTTATGAACGTCACAATAACATACACAATTTTTATGGAATGGAGTATTTGGGGGACCCCTAATTGAGTTAACCCCAAGGGTAATTTGTTACAATAATGCACAGAGAAAAAAATATGAAGTCAAACTATGTACATTACTTTTAGCCATGAAATCAGTTGACAATGAAATCAAAGATTACGTGGAGAAAAGGAAAAACCTCGTCTCAGTGTAGCTCCTATTTTATTTTTAAAGAGGAAGAGAAGTGAGCAGTGAAACACATCACTGGTGGGGGGGGAGTCACTAGCTGGCAGCAGCCTCGGGTGCCCGCTCACAGCCTCAGAGCCCAAGACTTGGCACATCTCCTTTAATGTCAATATATTTCAAAATGCCACTGAGTTTAATACTAGCACCAAATGCTGCACGGTAATAAAGCAGCACAGGGGTTAAACGAGAAGAGGAGGAAATAACCTGGCTGGAGGAAATAGACACAGAACAGTTTGCCGAGTTTATTTACACCTCTGTTTTTTCTAGACAAATTAGGATTCTTTGTCGTAATTCTTTCTTATTTGACTGATAGATTTTGCTTAAAATAGACCTAGTATTCTATTCCTGCTAGGAATGATGGTAGATTATTTTGTTATAATTGTATTTCATTAATAAAAATGATAAAAATATGTAATATCCAATTAAGAGATCAGCCTATATATTCAGAAAATGATATTTTTATCATCTTATAAAATTACAAGGCCAACTGGTTTCATTGGACAATTAGTCAACAACATTTTACCTCTCTGTGGGTTAAAAATAGCTAAAAGTATTTGTTACTTCTAGGAATGCTACCTGAAATACCTAGCAGTCAATCAAATTCATAACTTCCTCTTTCAAAGAGGTTACTCTGCAAGTGTAACGTTCATGTTGCCAGACTACAGATTTAAAAGATCACTATAAATGTTTTTAAGTAAAAAATATACAGAAAGGCCAGCTTTCTGTGATCGTAGATTGGAGGATGAAAATATTCCTGTGTGTGCAAAACTGCAAAGGACCAAATGCCTGCAAGTGCAACATATATGTGGTCATCAGTACTTACTCATTTTAAGGGTTCAAATAAGAGGGCAGCCCTAGTTGGCTGGTGGTATAATTGTTTCAAACTAGGAGGGGTCTACAGCAAATTTCCTGTGGAAGGGAAGAAGAGGACAATCTGTTTTGAGTGCATACTTGATCCTGACAACCCTGATTTTGACTCGTGAATTCGTCTCAGCTCTGGAAATGAAACCTTAGACTGAACAGATTTTTCTGTTTTGCAGTGTACTTAAAAATGTTGCTTCAATTTCACTTACTTCTATTTTTATGAATTGTGTAAAAAGTGGCCCATGAGACAAAGAAAACATGTGTCTACCTGAAATTTTTGCATATTCCCAGGGGAAGTGGTAAACAAAGAAAAGGTACCCAGATCCTTAAAAAAAAGTTATAGTTTAATAAATCTGTCAGTGAAATAGGTATGACATGATTGCTTAATGTTATTTAAACTGATCAAAGCCCAAGTATCATTTTCTGGTGAAAATGTATAATTGGCCTTTTACAATGCCTAATTGAAAAAGAGATCTCTTGAAAATACATAATGAGCAGCTTTCCTTTAAAATGGGCATTTTATTGTTGGCAAACAAAAATTACTGCCATGGGGAAGACCTTCGTGTTTATTGTGTATTTATTTAAATTGAGTATGTACAATACAGAAGAAAGTTAGTTTTAAAACCGAGTTTAAAGTAATGCTTCCAAATTCTAATTTCTTTGATTTTTCTCCCACTTAATTTATATTCAGCAAGCCCTTTTGAGATTTTAAGACACTTTCATTTAGAGGAATGTTTCATTACCCAGTTTACGTTCCCATGGTTTCGCTTTTTACTTGTTTGGCAACTCCTGTGTACTGGCTTCTCTGCAGGCTGATTGCATGGGCACTTCTTTTGAAAGCTGGAGTATGGGAGGGAAGCGGTTTGTAGAAATTGTACCTCTATCACAGAGCCGTTTATCAACATTGGAATGCAGGGGCCCTGTTCCTGGTTCTACTTTTGAATTAACTAGAGAAACCACACCAAAATTCCCCACGTACTCACTGTCAGGTCAGGGCCACAATTAGTTGCAGAAGTGAAGGTTCACACCTTATTTTAGGAACCCAAGTCAGTTAATTGGGTCTGCAATTAGCCTCTCTGGTTGCAATCCATTACAAGTGCAATTTCTGTATGTGAACTAATTTTGTGTGCGAAAATAATCTCACCAAAACAAAAATGTAAGTTAGTACAGAATCCACATCTGTCTTTTTTTGGGGGGCGGGTACTGGGGTTTGAACTCAGAGCCTTCACCTTGAGCCATTCCACCAGCCCCTCCCCCCAACCTTTTGTGTGTGTGCCCCCCTACCTTTTGTGTGTGTGTGTGTGTGTGTGTGTGTGTGTGAAGGGTTTTTTTGAGACAGGGTCTCGAAAACTATTTGCCTGAGCTGGCCTGATCCGCAGTCTTCCTGATCTCTACCTCCTGAATAGCCAGGATTACAGACGTGAGCCACCGGCACCTACCTTCACATCTGTCTTTGCTCAGTTATAGCCTAAGAAGGAGCAGATTTCTTCCATGAGTCATAAAGAAGTGCAAAACTAAAAGGTCCTGTGTAACCCAAGTATTTTCTTAACTTTTCTGCAAGTACTTAGGTCTAAGTGCATACTCGAGAATTGAGGGAAGTTTGTATTACATTGTTACTGTTAACATTTCACTAATTAAAAATCTTGATTACATTTATGTAATAATTTTAATTTTTACTTTTCATATTACTGTTTAAATGTGTTGTGTTTCTCTCCTACAGGTGAGTACACAAATAGGAGTACTCACATATTGAGCACAAAACAATTACGATCCAGAATTCTGTAACAACAGATCACTTAATGCATTGCTCTACTTAAAAGGCCTTGCTTGACCATAAGCCAGTATATATTATGGAGACAAAGTGGGCTTTGCTAGTTGTCAAAACTCTACCAAGTCAGCACAGGAAATCTGGCCTCATTCAGGAAATTTAACATACTGAGTAGAGGCAAATCAAAACAAAACAAACAATGAGCCAACAAATAACAAACATTTTGACAACAGTTCATGCTTTAAAAGAACTTCCAGTACAAATTTCTGAATCTCCCTATGTCATTTTGGCATACCTATTTTACCACTGTGTTTCAGACAACAGCTTTTAAGTCCCCCAATTCATAAATGTAATTAAATAATTACATTAGTGCTAATTAACATGAAACTGCAGATTATTTAAGCGCAAAAAACACTATTCAACTTCTTAATTATTCTTGTTCACACAGCATTTCCTTTAGCTCAGGCGCCCTAGGTGCAAATAAAGCATCCCATCTGCTCGTAATTAGAACTAAATAATTTCAGAGAATGTAGCTTATCATTTTGACTGCACATTTGATTAAAAACAGTGTACAAGCAATATCCTGGCTTATTGGCGTAACAGCAACAACACACAGGCCTGTGTTCCTCTATCATTAAAGAAGATCGAAAACATTATCTGTTATTTCAGGGGGAAAAATACAACTTTTTAGTTCATTTCATACAGATGAAAGCGAATTACAGCAAATCACCTCTCCACTGAATAGCGGCCCCCACATAATGACTTTATTTGCTTAATCCCCAAATTAAACGCCGTTTCGAGCGAGGGCCCTGTGTTATTACTCTCATCATGTCGAGAACATTTTCCTGCCGAGACCAATTTGAATAAAACAAGGGGCCTTCCTTGAACTCAATCAAGGAGCCATAATGCGGTGGGTAATAGAGGTTGCTGATAGATTTGCGGGCGAAAGTGTTATACCTAATGATGGGATATGGATAATAGTCCTCCTGGAGGTCCCGATGCGATTCCAGTTGGCTGCCAGATGCTGAAAATCAAGGAAAGCATTGATCAGTGACAGGAAGCTGCAGTGGATTCATCGCGTCAAACTTCAGCTGTTTTTCCACTGTACAGTTAAGCCAGGCATAAATTATATTAATTGATTTAATTACATACTTAAAACATCTTCCCCAATTAATTTAATTAGGTGGCTACATGATGCTACTGGCAGGGGAAGATTAGAGGCAGCTCACTTAATTAACAGAATATGAATGAAAAAAGAGAAAGCAAACATAAATGAAATTGTGAGCACTAATTAAAAGGCTGTCTGCAAACTTAAATACTTTCTGACAAAGTGGTGACAGCAATGTAGGCAAGAGAGGATTTTTTTCCTAGTAAATTAAAGTGCTAGAAGGTATATATAAGGAGAAAAGGTAATGCAGTTCAAACATTGATCTTCCGACACAACTACCATCGTCAAAACCAAGGGACTTTTCTTCTATAGGAAAATGGCAACAGATTTTGCAGGCACAAAAGCTAGAGATTCCTGACTGGGGCTAAGATGGGGTTTGTGCATCATACACCCAGGGAAGGAAAAAGTGAGGGAAGCTGAGGGGAGGATAGTTGGAGAGGGAAAGGAAGATAAACAGACAACTTGTTGCAGTTGTTCAGCAAGGAATGTTTACAAAAGAGGTCTGCTCTAACAGCTGGCAGCCTTGCGCACCTTGGCTCGGATGTGGAAATTCTCCAGGTGTCTCTGACGGGATTCCTTCAGCATCTTCTTCAGTCGTGCCTTATGGCAGTGTAAAAGCCAGGCGATGGCAATCACACCAGAGGCCCACTTCTGCCGGCGGAAAAGGAGGAAGAACTTTCTGGTTCTGTAGCACCTCCATATGGCTTGGATTGTGATGGCGGCCTTGACTCTTCCATTTTGGCCCTTGTACCTCTGTCCTGGAAGGTTTATGAGCATTTGGACGTAAAATGGGTTCTCTAACATGGAGAGAAGGTTGTGTCTGGTAAGTTTATTATTTAGCTCAAACTCTGGAAGGAAGGCCACCAAACTCTTTCCTTTTATTTTGACTTCTGGTATTGCATAGTCCTGGAGAAAATTCTCAATGTGTTCCAAGAGGGACAAAATACTCCCCCAAGCTAACTGAAAATGATTCTTGAAAGCTAAGAAATCTGGGGCTGCCTTGTCCACAACGCCATCATAAATAAAAAAGTCATATTCCCACGGTAATTTCACAACTCTAGAAGATGTGATGATTTTCATGCCCTAGGGAAAGAAAGTCTGTCAGAGATGAAATATATCGTGATCTTCTTTAAATGAATGGACACACACACACACACACACGATGACATTATCTTACCACTAATGCAGCTTCTAGCACTGATTCAACACACATATACCATAATGTGAAAGTCTGGCTGGTATATGTCATCAAAATTCAGTACAGGAAGGGTATCTCAGAGATCCCTCAGAGCCATTAAATAGTGTTACAGATGTGTTTTTATAAAAGTGTTTAAAATTGCTGAAAGAAACGATCATTAAAATTTTATGCTTTTAGTTTACTTTGATATGGTCAGCTGACCCCATGATCTCTTGGAATTTTATCTTTTACGAAGGCATGCAGGGTCCTAGACAAGTATGTCACTGATTCCTCATCTGTAACTTATCCACCAATCCTAAAAAACAGGGTAAAGCTTTCCTTTGCTGTCATCAGGATAATTTAAATATGTCCGTTAAGAGCTGCTCTGACTTCCTAACAACCTGTCACGTTTCAGCATTTTTAAATTCTTCTGGCACCTTCTCTTAATATCCAGTGGTGCTTTTCACAGGAAGCACCATGTTGAGTACTACTACCTCTGTCATTTCTACATTTCTATTGACAAAAATTCTTTATTCTTAAGCCTAATGTCCTCTTAGGGACATGTCTGAAACTGTGCACAAGTACACTGAAGTCAGCAACCTTATAACAAACAAAGCCAAAGAGGCACTGGGTTTTCAATGTGCTGCCATCTATAGTGACTGAAAATTTAAGTTATGGAAAAGCACTATTTTTACTTACAAATATCAAGAGGGGTAGTCTAGTTGGGCACTGCTGGCTCACACAGGGATCAGGAGGATCATGGTTTGTGCTTTGAAGCCAGCCCCAGCAAATAGTTCATAAGACCCTATCTCAAAAACACCCAACACAAAAAAGGGTTGCCGGGGTGGCTCAAGTGGTAGAGCGCCCGTCTAGCAAGTGTGAGGCCCTGAGTTCAAACACTAGTACTACTAAAAAAAAAAAAAAAAAAAGAGGGGCCTTAAAGAATGTGGTGGTGGTAAATTTTCTTCTTTTTTTATATTTTTCTATATTAAAAACAGAATAAATTCTATTTTTAAATCAAACCAGAAGAGATTTGGATGACAACAGCAAAACATAATGTATTCGACACTTTAAAAAAAACAAGAAAAGAAAATTTTGTTGTTCACTGCAAACCCACTACATTTCAATTATGGAAAACTGTTGCACTAGAAAAACAGACACTCTGCCCCATGGTTTTGAAGCTTCTAACGCCTTGGGCAGAGGGGCCTGCTGCATGGAGGGGTTTCAGTTCGTCAGGTATTAGTTTTCCATGACGATGGCCTCTTCTTTCTTGGATTTAGGGAATTAATTGTTTTCAGTATGTCCATGTTTTTAGATATATAAGCTCATCTTTACCAAACATAAGATGATGTTGCTTTCCACATTTTAAAAACTTTTTCTTATAAAAAAATCAAAGAAAAAAATCCTAGTTAATTTATCAATAACTATTGTGCCACAGCACTGGGTTGAGTGAGTATTCCTGTATTAGATTATTCATGCTCCATCTTTACCAAATGAATGTTAATTGAAAGTAGCAAATACCAGGCAGAAAGATAAGTAAGAGGAAAATAAGTCAAGAGATACATGCACCAATAAAGGCACGATAAACAAACATAGCAATGAAAAATTTAAAAAAATCTTCAAATTGTTTTTCTTTTCTTGGCTCTGGGTAGTAGAATAATTACACTGGCATTTCAAGTAATAGGTCTAAAATGTAAATTTTTCTGTAACTTTAGAATCCAACTTTAAATAGCACTATACAAGTTAACTTAAGAGCTGTTATAAGGGCTAAGAATGATGGGGAAAGTCTTCTCATCAAGAATCTGGCCCTTTCAGATATAATCAGGACACCAAGAGAGAATGCAAACTGTGTGGTGATAGAAGTAAATTCCCTTGTCTTGGATGGGCAAGAGAGAGCTAGACACGTTAATGCCCCCTTAGGCAGACATTGGTGCTGGCAGGAGGAGCTGTGACTCTGAGTGTAAGACAAGTGGCACATGTTCAACAGAAATGGCCCATGGCTACATTGCTGCCTCCCTTCAAGAATTGGTTCCGATGGTAGGAAGGTTAGAACTCAGGGAATGACAGTTTTCATCCGTGAGAAATAGATGTGCAAAATAATCACAGATGGACATGCACGGAGCTGGTTGGTCCTGCCAGTCCCATGTTTGAGCCATCATCAGACTCTGAGACTCCTACAGAAAGCAATGCTATGGATGGAAGGTTTGCCAGAGAATCTGTCTCCTTGGAGATGTTAATGTATTTCTGAAATTCCTTATCCTTACAGAGAACTGTGTGGAATTGGGACCACCTATGAAAATGGAACAACGTTGGGAGGAAGTTCAGAAGAAAGAGGACTCAAGTCTCTTTCTCAGACAGTGCCTTTACTCCGGCTGGTCTACAGTATTTATGTACATCAGCAAATGTATTTTAGACCTCCTGGTAGAATAGCTTTGGAGGGCTGGGGTTGCAGAATGTAACAGGGGCTGTTTTAGAACAAAGGGATTACACCGTCCTACCTTTTTGGATGATATCCCAGCAAAGACCTGCTCTCAAAGGAAAGTCACTCTTGGACATCAAATAGACCACTCAGGCACTAGGAATCTCTGGGTTTGGAGTCAGCTATCACATAACTGTAGTACATCTGTCACCGAGAATGCCACACACGGGAGTACTTTAGACTTAGAACAAGAAAAGACATGCCTCTCAAGAGAAAGGCTTCCCAAATTAAAGTGGTGCATCAGCATTGTGAGATCCACTGAGCAGGTAAAGATGAAGCTGCTCCCAATCTGCCAGGAATAAGAGCCCTGATTAAAGGTCAGGCCAAGCTTCAGGCTCTGGCTCCTTCTGCTAGTCTTCTTGATTCAGCTTCATGGACTTGTCTAGTATTATTTGTTGGCCTTCCCTCCCTCCCTCCTTCCTCTCCTCCCTTCTTCTCTTACTCTCTCTCCCTCTCTTCCTGTCTCCTTTCTTCTATTTCCTCCCTCCCTCTGCTTCTCCCTTCCTTTTCATTTATGAAAGTAAACAAAGCTTTGCTGCACTCCCAATGTCATATTACTGACTCAACAGCAAAATGTTTTCCTCCTAGTGGGCTGGATATCTGTTGAGACATCTGCATTCCCACCTGGTCCTTCTTGGAGCCCAGTCACCCCTTTCTTTACCTTTGTGACATGCCTGCACTCACAAATTGGCCCCCACACAGCACAAACCTGTGGCTGTAGCCCTATTACTAGCTTTCTTCTCTGACTGAGTCAACTAGCTGGGAAATGCTCTTCATCTGCAAAGTACAATCACTAATTAGGTAGCTTTGAGTTTCTGGAGCAGTTATTTAGGGAAAATTCTAAATGTAAAGCAAAAAACAGGAAGCCATGATGATTACATATGTTAGTAAGACCTGATGTGAAGCAAAAAAAAAAAAAAAAAAAAAAAAAAAGAAACCAACAACAACAAAGGCCCAGTATTGCATTTTAAAATTTAGGAATAACTACCACAAAGAAAACTTTTGGAAAAAAGGACAATATTTCTAAGCTGATTTTTTTTTCTTTTGCTGTAGTTTATTGAGATAAAATCCTGGGCTATGTGGCCCAGGCTGGCCTCAAACTCGACCCTCCTGCTTCAACCTCCCAAAAGCAGGGATTAAGTACTCCATACCCAACTAAGCTGAATTTCTTCATGAAAAATTTGGTTTTCATATATGGACAGCATGTGGGTATAGAATTAAAGTGGATCCCTAAATGGAATAAAAGCAAGATCTCCCAGTAATAAATAGTCAAGCATTTGGGAAAATCCAACATGGATTCGAATCTATGAGCCAATGTTCACTTTCCAGCTAATAGCAATCCATCTAGGTAAATGCAATGTATGAAAAGAGTGAGTTCTGCCTGTACACTACTGTTCCAAGTAAAAGATTACATTCAGAGAAAGACACAGTGTCCCTCAAAGATGGAGTCTTCATTTTTTCCCAATGATTAGGCATGCCATTTGTCTCACTCTGTTTTTTAACTTTGGTGAAGGTCCGTGTTGTGTTGATTTTGTACAAAACAAACATCAGAACCTCAACTGGCCAGAATTACTCAAAAGGTATCAACAATATTCAGAGAGATAGCTGATTTAATCAGGGTTCAGAGATTTAGCTTCAATATTAAAATGTGAGGCATCCTGAAGGTTTCTAACCTTGCCTTTTACTCAATAGACCCAGGGAAACAAACCTCAGCAATGAAGTCCAACTAACTTGGATTCAAATCCATCCTCTGCCACGATGTGCTACACCCTGTAGGGCAAGTTATTACCCTCTTTGAATCTAATTTTCTCATCTGTAAAAAAGAGAGGTCCCCTAAGAGTTTCTGTGATGATTATACTGTATGTGAAGAGGCTCAGCTCCAGTCACTGTCTCACTACTATAGATGAGGAAACTGAGGCTCAGACAAGGTAAATGACTTGTCTAAGACCATACAGCTAGTTGGTGGATCTTAACTTCTATTTTTTTTTCTTTTTCTTTTATTATTCATATGTGCATACAAGGTTTGGGTCATTTCTCCCCCCTGCCCCCACCCCCTCCCTTACCACCCACTCCGCCCCCTCTCTCATCCCCCCACCCCCTCAATACTGGGCAGAAACTATTTTGCCCTTATTTCTAATTTTGTTGAAGACAGAGTATAAGCAATAATAGGAAGGACCAAGGGTTTTTGCTAGTTGAGATAAGGATAGCTATACAGGGAGTTGACTCGCATTAATTTCCTGTGCGTGTGTGTTACCTTCTAGGTTAATTCTTTTTGATCTAACCTTTTCTCTAGACCAGGATCTTAACTTCTAAAATAGTAGTTTTGTTATTATAAGAAAAAAATCCTCTTCCTAAATATCTCAATCCATAAAGAATTAAAGGAAAGAATTACTGGTAAGGTTTGTCCTTGCTACTCTCCCATCACCT